ATATACCTGTGCATCACATAGACAACAGTACTGTACAAAGCCAACAAACACATTGGTCTGTTTGCCTTCAGGGACTCCTCTCAACAGCAGCTGCAAGAAGCAACAGGAGCCAAAAGACCCAGAACAGCTTTGAGAGAAGAGGAGAAGCAGAGGCTGTCTGAAGAGGTCTGCAACACCATCCTGGATCACACCAAAGAAAGGTTCTCTTTCTCTGGCCACCTTGTGAGTGCTACCTTACTGCAAGCAGACATGTTTGAAAGGTACTGCCATTCATTTCCTGATGAGGCTCTGAATGCCACTGTGAATGCATACCCCATGCTGAGCAAGGCAAAGCTCAAGACAGAACTATCTCTGATCTATGAGAATCCTGAATTCAAGGGATGCTGTGGTGCACTGGCACTGTACCAGGTTCTCATGAGCTACAACCTCCAGGAGACGTTCTCTGAGACTGTGACTCTGTTGAACATCCTCATAACTACTCCCATGACAACAGCTGAAGCTGAGAGATGTTTCTCAACTTTGACACGAGTTAAGACATTCCTGCGAAATTCAATGGGCCAGGAACGTCTGAATGCACTGGCCATGCTTTCCATGGAGAGGGAACTAGTCCTCAGCATGCCTGATTTCAATGAGAAAGTCATTGAACGCTTTGCTGTATTGAAACAGAGAAGAGAACAGTTTCAGTACAAGTAATGTAGCCTCTCTCTCTCTTTGTCCCTCCCTGTCTGTCTCTTTAACACACACACGCCCAAATCAGTTCACAGTTGATGTTGTTTAAAATAGTTATTTTTCATTTTTAAAAAACAACAAATCTATACAATTGGCCAGAATATGGTTGTTCATATTTACAAATCTATACAATTGGCCAGAATATGGTTGTTCGTTTTTACAAAGCCATACAGATAGCTGTGTTTACCTTTTCTAGAAATTACTTTCAAATTCTGTTTTCAGGCAAAATGTCTATCACTGTTCATTTTCACAAATCTATACAAGAGGGCAGAATATGAAAGTCTATAAAAATGTCTTATTACCAATAACTTGCATCAATGTTTTCAGTAGCCTCTATCAAAAGCTCCTGCTTGCTTGTTGTGAATTATGCTCAGGTGCACATATTTCCAATTCAACCATGAGGCAAAAAATGTGGTAAAAGCTCTTGTTGATCCTGCAATCTGAACAAATACCAAGATGCTGTATTTTCAGCTGATATTTCATTTGTTTATGGAAATGCATATTGTTTATGCAGTGTTGAGGAATGTGAAAGAACACCCTTGATTATTTTTACTGTGATAACTTATTTTGATTTTGTAAGCCAACACTTTTGAGATCAGTCAATAAATGCTTCTGGTATTGACTTATATGCTGCCCCTGTCTTCATGTTGTTGCTGGACATATCTTTTTAAAAATGTGTGTAGGTCACCTAAATCATCAGAAAAATTGCCCCCCCTGAGAATTTTTTCAGGAGCCGCCACTGTTATTAAGTAACTGGTTCCACAGCCTTTCTTTGTTTACTCAACTTTTCAGTCAAGTGTTACCTGAACTGAAAAAAATTGTTGGCCCAAACTTAGCTCCATCTGGAGAAAACGTAGGCAAAAATTAAGTCAACTTAAAATGATGTGTTTGCTCAACTTGTCTCATATGTTAATTCAACTAGAAATTATTATTTGTTCATCTTATCTAAAAAAGGCTGTGGAACTCATTACACACACACACACAGTGCTTTTAACATACAATGTTTTCAACTTACATATTTGACACACGTTGACATACATGATTACATTGTGCATGTTCATGTATGAAGTAATTATTATTATTCAACATGTCCTCACCTGGGATTTAAACTCACAACCTTTTATGCCACGTTCAAAACAACTGGGAACTTGGAAAAATCTGAGGTAAAATCATGACGTCAGTGATCTTCAGGTCGGATGACCGTTCAAATTGATTTTTCCCAGTCAGAGCTCGATTTTTGAAAACACTAAAGTCGGAAGTCGAAGATCTTAAGCACTGTGTGTGTGTGTAACTAGTTCCACATCCTTTTTTAGGTAAAATGCCCAAATTATAATTTCTAGTTGAATGAACAATGAGACAATTTGAGCAAACACATCATTTTAAGTTGACTGAATTTTTGCCTACGTTTTCTCATGTTGGAGCTAAGTTTGGGCCAACTAACTGTTTTTAGTTCAGGTAACACTTGGACCGAAAAGTTAAGTAAACAAAAAAAAGACTGATTAAATAGTTACTTAATAATAATTAGTTGAAACAACAAGATTTTTCGTACAGTGTAGAGCATTTTGGGGATTTTGTTTATTTTTCACTCCAGACTTATTATGATTTAGCCAGGAGCAAGCAAAGAACACATGATAACATGACATTTTTCTCTCAAATCTGTCTATGTCAGGCAATTTATTTTTGTGGCAAGAACTGTTGTCATTGCAACAGTAGGATGGTATAAAGTTTGTGTGTGTGTGTGAATTGTCGGCTGAGGTTTTTCATACACCAAAAATATACACAATCATGCCGTTGACCTTGATGTGTCCATGCATTCTTTGTGAGAAAATCCTTTGCCTCAAGACATATTTTGTCACTCAACCAACCTTAAAGATCAATTACATAGCCTATATTCCGTTCCATTTAAAATCGATACATAGTGTTTGATAGATGTGCATTGCTTTGTTTCATAACACTGTCACTGAAGCTGTGTATGAATATGCAGATACAGTATTAACCCTGTCTACAGTTGCGCTTCATTTTCATCTTTGATTTCTCCTCTTTTGTCCACAGATGAGAAAAGAAAAAAACAAAATACAGAAAGAGAAAGATTTTCATTGACAGCCTCACCCCATATTCATAACAGCATCCACCGTTACTATGCAACCTAGTGAATAATTATTGTATTGTTTCCCGCTGTTGTATTTCAGTTTCACCCCTGTTTAGCATCAACTTTGATCTGTCTCCATGCTGATATAGTTTTCTCATCCGTAGCTGCTCCACACCTCTCTCTCAATGTCCCCCTGGAGCCAAAGGCAGGCCCAGAATAAGAATCAGCTCCTCTCTCATCTCAGCTCCTGGCGAGGCTGTCTGTCCTTAAACTCTGTGTTTACCCTTGCACAGACTATAGTAGATTGAGAGGCCTGATATGAAGACAGTGACTTTGATACTCTGACATAGGCTATCCTACAAAAGCCATCAATTCCCTATCACCCAACTATACTTCCGCTATAGTAGCCTACTGTACTATGCCTCGTTGTTCCTGTCTGCTTGTCTGTGTGCACGTGTGTGTGTCCTCTTTGAGGGGATGTGGGATTGTGGCTCCAAATGGCAGATAAAGCTAATCATCCTTTAATCAGATCTTCTAGATACAACTATCCTCAATTTCAGAGAGAGACATCATTTTTTGAAAATCTGCTGACTACAGTGCAGAGTCCGTAGAGAGTGGGGGGTATAAGGCACGTGGCTCTTAGTGGGATAGGGAGAGGCGGGCCCAGGAATCTAGTGGGGGCTGCAAGGGACTGTACAGAGAGGATAAAGGAGAACAGTAACTCCAAGGACAGATGGGGGAAAGCTGAGGGGCAGCCGGGCAGGAATTGGTTCTGAGAGAAACACCTGTCATTCAATAACATGATCGACAGTCTCTACATGAACAGAGGGCTGACTAAATCTCACATGGCAAAATGGAACCGGCTGTCTCTTTTTCCCTCTCCAGTCTCCCGAGTGGCGCAGTGGTCTAAGGCACTGCATCGCAGTGTTAGCTGTGCCACTAGAGATCCTGGTTCGAATCCAGGCTCTGTCGTCGCCAGCCGTGACCGGGAGACCCATGGGGCAGCGCACAATTTGTCCAGGGTAGGGGAGGGAATGGCCGGCAGGGATATAGCTCAGTTGGTAGAGCATGGTGTTTGCAATGCCAGGGTTGTGGGTTCATTTCCCACAGGGGGCCAGTATTAAACATAACTCACTAACTGTGAGTTGCTCTGGATAAGAGCGTCTGCTAAATGACTAAAAATGTAAATCTCTCTATCACCTACCTGTTTCATGATACTGCAGATGAATGGGGAGCTAAAAGCCCTTTCAATAATAGGCGATAGATACACAGTTAGGTGAAATTTCTGATGGTGGATTTCCTTTCCTTTTAATGTCATAGTGAAATATAGAAGTGGAATGCCACAAATTAATTTCAACCAATGTAAACCTAATGGATATTCTATTGATAGAATGCTTCCGTTCTCTTCTCCGGAACATTGTAATAAGATGACTCAAGTGGAGTGTTCCTCTCTCAAAGGAAGGGAAACACAGATTATTAAACCACTGAACACTTATCACATCCATCATCTAAAAATAAAAATGACCACCACTTTCATAAGTAGAAGCATTATTATAATTCAGTCTTCCATTCAGTTGTCTGAGGGGCTGTGTTTACATTCCAATTTGCTAAAGATTCCTCAAGAATCGAAGACTCCATGTACTGTTTGTTCCATTTAGATGGGGGACCAGGGATTAACAAGTAAACTAGGTGCCAAACAAATAAAATAAAATATGCAAACAGCATTTGCTACAATACATGTAACTCATGAGAAAATTCTGCAGGATGCATCTCATAATATAAGGACTCTGCTCTTGTTTATTGCATACACTTGGGGATCTTCAATTGGTATATGTAGAACAGTCTCTTCATATCTGGCCTACTGTATCCAAAGGCTGTATTATATTGTTTACATAGGCTACTACATCATTGGCTAGACTATCTATCAGAGAGCAGCAGACTAGCTTCTCGTCTGTTGAAAACACATGAGCAAGTTTGCGCCACCTTGCGTTTCAAAAGTACATAACAGCTCAATTAATTACCACGCAGGCATTTAGGTATCCTTGTTCTAAACAATGTAGGTCCTAATCTTGTACTGGTGTTTCTTGTGAAATGTATTGAAAAGGGTTTTAACGCCATTCTGAAACTCCACTGTGCAACGCCTCTAGAAAACCACAATTCCCAGACTCAGAATCCGCTGTTCTTTTCATCTGTGGCGTAGTGCAACATGGTGGCTTGGTAAAACGAAGATAGTTCGTAAGCATCTTGTTTTTAAGTGACCATGGTTCGTATTTTAAGTTATATACATCCATTTTACTTGCTTATGTTATGCTGTAAAACCTTACAGTTGCAGTGTTTATAAAGAATGTTTGGACTTTAATCCATGAAATGTGTTCAATCTCCCTATATCTGTCCGCTAGTCATTGTTAACGAGCTTGCTTGCTAGCTAGCTAGCTAACGTTACCAGTAGCTAGGTAACGTTAGGAAGTTAAAAGAAAAATCCACTCAAAAACATGCATTTTTTTCATTAGACCACTGTTGATACAGTCCCAACATCTTTTGCATGTCAGCAGTCAAGTTTTCGATGCCGCGTTCAAAACAACTGGGAGCTCGGAAAAAACGAGCTCCGAATAGGAAAAATCTATTTGAAATGTCATCCAACTCGGGAACTCGGGCCTCCTTCTAGAACTCCGACTTTCTGACCTGACGATCACTGACGTCATGATTTGACCTTGTATTTTTCAGAGTTCCCAGTTGTCTTGAACGCACCATAAGATATAGGATTTTCAAGAAGCAAATGCCCCGTTCAAAACAACTGGGAACTCTGAGGTCAAATCGATGTCTGATCATGACGTCAGTGATCTAAAGGTCAGAATGTCGGAGCTCTAGAAAGAGACCCGAGATGGAATTCAGAGTTGGATGACGTTAAAAACGATTTTCCCCAGTCGGAGCTCGTTTTTTCACCAGAGTTCCCAGTTGTTAAAAAAAAAGATTAGCTAGTTGATAGGATGATGATGATGTTGTTCATTAAATCGATAAATGGAGACAATCAGAACTTAATAATGGGGGTTGGTGACCTAATGCACTGAGATTATGGTAAAATGGACTTGAGGACCTACAACTCAAAGCTATACTTATTCTGTCCTCACAGATGGCTGGTGATCCAACCGACAAGAACGATGCAGCAGAGACCTCAGGAGTCAAGGATAAGGATCGGGAGCGGAAACGCAGTCGCTCACGAGAGCGTGAACGCAAAGGCTCCCCGTCCAAGGACCGGAAACCACGCCAACGCTCTCGTGAACGCAACCGATCCAAATCCGCAGAAAGGTTTGAATGATGCATTACTGGTAGTGGGTGAATGCGAAACAACCTGCCAGAATAGTTTCAACCTTTCGGTCACATTAAGTACATCTTCCCTACAGGTTGAAACGCACTGCTGACATAATCAGGGCAGCGTGGAATCCAGGGATGGAAGATGTTGCTGTACTCTTAATATTCCTATTCTCTAAAGCAGTGTTTACCAACCCTGGTCCTCAAGTACCCCCAACAGCACACATTTCTGTTGTAGCCCTGGACAAGCAACTCATTCAGCTCATTGAGGGCTTGATGATTAGTTGATAAGTTGAATCAGGTGTGCTTGTCTAGGGTTACAATACAAATGTGTACTGTTGGTGGTACTTGAGGACCAGGGTTGGGGAAACACTGATCTAAAGTGACAAATCGAGAAGTTTGAATTACTGCTAGTTTTGTATTAAACTGCCTTTTTCGTCCTCATGCTAGGTAGCAGAAGCCATAGCAGCCATGTTTGGATTTTATTTTGACATTTCCACAGCGTAACGAAGTAGTCCGCTCAGAGCCTGATTGGCTGACTATCCTTTGTTGTTCTACGTGCCATTCCAAAAAGGTTGCTGTCTTCTGCTACCTAGCATGAGGACGAAAAAGGCTGTTAAATAAAAAATTAGCAGTATTTCAATCTTCTCGATTTATCACTTTGGATAATGGGAATATTAGGAGTACATCGACATCTTCCATCCCTGGATTGAGGTACATTTTTCAAGCCATATTCCACACTGCCCTGATTATGGCAGCAGTGCATTTCGACCTGTAGGGAAGATGTACTTACTGCGACCGACCGATCAAAACTATTCTGGCTAGGTCTTTCCACTGTATTTGAAAGGTGTCCAGCTATGTATCTGACCTTTCCTTCCCCTCAAGAGATCGCCGTCTGAAGGACAAGGAGAGAGAGAAGGAGCATGACCGGGACAAGAACAGAGAGCGGGGTCGCAAGGACAGAGACAAGGACGGTCACCGCAGAGACAAAGACTGCAGCAAGAAATCCAGGTCTGTAGGCTTGAGTCAGACTGATGTTTTAGTCACAGGGTGAGTGTTCGGTGCAGGCTTGAGCCGATTACAAGATCATAGTGTCCTATTGATATGGTTCCATCCAGAGACGTTAAAAACGTCTCTAGGCATTACAAAGATCTGATATTCTCAGCAGAATGTTTATCTGGAACACTCCCACTTTGTGCCATTCAGTAACTGAGTGTGAGCTATGAGTCTTTAAAACATCACGTAATATGCAGAGCCATTTTCAGAGCTTATTTTCTTTCTTTACTTTTTCAACTTGGGTGGTTACTTCTTCTTACAGAAGCATCTCCCCCAAGTCCAAGGACAGGATAAAGAGGGAGAAGGATTTGAAAAAAGAGGAGGATGAGGAAGAGGACAAGAAGAAGAAAGGAAAGGTAAGGAGGGAGTAGTCTCTCCATTCTCCAAAGGCCCAGCTAACTACCACCACGTCGGGATGTATCTTGAGGTGTGATTGTGTTTCATGATGAGTATTTCTCTGTATCTCTCTTAGGTCCAGCCGCTGTCTCTAGAGGAGCTTCTTGCCAAGAAGAAAGCAGAGGAGGAGGCGGAGGCAAAGGTGAGACCATAGTGCCCATTTGGTAGTCAATCTGTTTGGTGTTTTTTTATTTAATTTTTTAGTCATTTAGCAGTCGCTCTTATCCAGAGCGACTTACAGTTAGTGAGTGCATACATTTTTCATACTGGCCCCCTGTGGGAATCGAACCCACAACCCTGGCGTTGCAAGCGCCATGCTCTACCAACTGAGCTACAGGAGGCCCTGTTGCAGTGAGGAGCAAGATGGGAGTGTAACAATTAAGAATGTTAAGCTATGTTTCTCCACATTGAATTTGAATGTTTTCGTAGTTCAAAACATTTTTCCCCTTTATTTCTCTCCCTCTCTTTCTTTCTCTCTCTCAGCCCAAGTTCCTGTCCAAGGCGGAGCGCGAGGCAGAGGCTCTGAAGAGGAGGCAGCAGCAGACGGAGGAGAAGAAGAAGACTATCGATGAGGACCGGAAGAAGAGGAGGATGTTCCAGGACATCGGGAGGAAGATGATGGGTGAGGAGGAGGGCCTTGGGGTTAGTCAGGAGGAAGATGATGGGTGAGGTAGGAGGGGCTTGGGGTTAGTCAGGAGGAAGATGATGGGTGAGTAGCAGGGGCTTGGGGTTAGTGGAGAGGAGATGATGGGTGAGTGGGAGGGGCTTGGGGTTAGTCAGGAGGAAGATGTGGGTGAGTAGGAGCGGCTTGGGGTTAGTCAGGTCACAATATTCTGTATGTTTCTGATAGAAATGTCTTCTAAAGAACTTAACTGATTCCATATTCTACATGACATAGAAGCATGGCTGTTCTACATCATGTTTCTATCTGGACGTTCAGTAACGTTTCACCCCACTGAATACGGCCTAGGTTTCTGGCAGTTAGATATCACACTGTTAGACCTCTGGTTAGGTCTCTGACAGTGCTTGGAGTTAGGGTTGAAGTTTTTTTCATAGTTCCATTGAACCTGCTGTTGGCTCACAGTGTATGTCTGTCCGTGTCCCAGAGGACCCCCAGGAGAGGGACAGACGAGAACGGAGAGAACGGATGGAGCGAGAGAACAACGGGGACCAAGCGGACGACGGAAGACAGAAGATCAGAGAGGAGAAGGATAAGGGCAAGGAGCTCCAGGCCATCAAGGTTAGTCTGGAGATTGAGGATCTGCCATGGGCTGGTTTCAGGAATACAGGTTAAGCCCATTTCTGGATTGTATTCATTCATGGACACTGTAGCAAAACCTAGCAAAACATTTTGCAACAGAAAATGAAAACAACGTTTCTTATTGGACAACGTAATGTCGTCCCTGCCTGTTTGAGTTTGTCTTCCTGTGTTTGATTCCTAGTGAATATGACCCTTGACTAAAAAGCATGTTCACTGGAGATTCTCTGATTAGTTAAATCATGAGCTTTGATATGATTGGTTGAACTAAGTGTTTGAGCAGGTGTACTGTGCCATCTCACACCCGTCTGTCTCTGTCCAATCAGGAGCGTTACCTGGGCGGGACTAAGAAGCGCCGGCGGACACGTCACCTGAACGACAGGAAGTTTGTCTTTGAGTGGGACGCCTCTGAAGACACATCTACAGACTACAACCCCATGTGAGTCTGCAGATGAACGCTGGGACGATACATTCACAGTTTCACAAACATGGTGTTACATGAGATGTGTCCGAATTAGATCTATTATTTGGATTAGAGGTCTTCACGGGTCCAACAGACATGAAATTCTGAGTAATTTGTTATAGGCTGTTTTTAAGGACACGTAACTATGGCTAAATGTCACTTGTTTATTTATGGCGCTGGCAGCGCCTGGTTGGAGGTTTCTCGCTCTCACTCTCTCTCTCTCGGATCTGAACGCGTCTCTCAGATCTGAACTGGCAGGGGTCTGTTTTTCACGGTCCTTTTCAGAACGGGTCTGACTGTCCTTCACGGGTCTTTTAAACTGAATTTATGCGTATAGGTCAGGTGGGAAATCCACGGGTCCAACTTTTTGGACCCGTGAAGACCTCTAATTTGGATACGGGCAACCATTAACCACTTTGCTCCTTCAATAGACATTTGGCTTTCTCTAATGCACCTGCTCTCTTCCCTTCTAATATCCCACTCTGCCTCCGTCTCTCAGTTATAAGGAGAAGCACCAGGTCCAGCTGTATGGGCGGGGCTTTATCGCTGGGATCGACCTAAAGCAACAGAAGAAAGACCAGTCACATTTCTACGTCGACATGATGGAGACGAGACGCACACTGGAGGAGAAGGAGCAGGAGGAGTGAGTCACATAAACACACCTGACAAACTACCATGCTCTCAAACACATCAAATCGAAACAGCTTAAAACGGTTGATTGTCGTTCTCTAATCTCTGCGCCATCCCCCTCCCCTCCCCTCCCGCTCCTCAGGGTGCGGCTGAAGAAGGTTCATAAGAAGGAGGCCAAGCAGCGGTGGGACGACAGACACTGGTCCCAGAAGAAGCTGGAGGAGATGGCGGACAGGGACTGGCGTATCTTCAGGGAGGATTACAGTATCACCACCAAGGGTGGCAAGATCCCCCACCCCATCAGGAACTGGAAGGAGTACAACCTGCCCCCGCACATCGTGGAGGTCATCGACAACTGTGGCTACAAGGTCAGCTGTGAAGACTTCGGATGCACACGCCACCTTTTGGGTCTTCCCCTGATCCAGCACTGAAGCCATTACTTGCTGTATAAAAAAATGACTTCCTTTTTGTTTCCCTTGTTGTCCAGGATCCAACGCCTATCCAGAGACAAGCCATCCCCATTGGCTTACAGAACCGTGACATCATCGGCGTGGCTGAGACGGGTAGCGGTAAAACGGCTGCCTTCCTCATCCCCCTATTGGTCTGGATCACTACCCTGCCCAAGGATGAAAGGTGAGCCACACCACCCCAGCCAGAGGGTTACCCCTCAAACTACTCTCCAAGAGTTGCATGTCCTTCTTTCGAACCACACACACACCCTTCTCACACCCTCTTTCCCCTGGCTCTGTAGGATTGAGGACTCGGACCAGGGTCCGTATGCAGTGATCCTGGCCCCCACCCGTGAGCTGGCGCAGCAAATCGAGGAGGAGACCCTTAAGTTTGGGAAACCTCTGGGTATCCGCACCGTGGCCGTCATCGGAGGTATCTCCAGGGAGGACCAGGGCTTCCGCCTCCGGATGGGCTGCGAGGTCAGACACTAGAAAACATGCAGATTCACACACGCACACACACACAATTTTATTGCCAATATGAAGACGCATGCTTGTGACGTCTGAGTAAACGTGTCTGTGTGTTCCAGATAGTAATAGCCACCCCAGGTCGTCTGATAGACGTGTTGGAGAACAGATACCTGGTCCTGGGTCGCTGTACCTACGTGGTACTGGATGAGGCTGACCGCATGATAGACATGGGCTTTGAGCCTGACGTCCAGAAGATCCTGGAGTACATCCCTGTGACCAATCAGAAACCAGACACTGACGAGGCAGAGGACCCAGAGAAAATGAAGATGAACTTCGAGATGGGAAAACACAAGTACAGACAGGTAAGAGATTGTTAAAGCCTAGACAGATAAATAAACACACACAGAAGAAAATATCAGCTTAAAGCTAGCTGTACAATTTAAGAAGATAATTCTCTCTCCCCTGCCGTTCCTCCTTCCATTTTTCTCTCTCCTTTCCTCCATCCGTCTCTCTCCTCTCTGTTTCTCAGACGGTCATGTTCACAGCTACCATGCCCGCGGCGGTAGAGCGGTTGGCCCGTAACTACCTGCGTCGTCCGGCCGTGGTGTACATCGGTTCAGCTGGTAAACCCCACGAGAGAGTGGAACAAAAGGTCCTGCTCATGGGAGAGGGAGAGAAGAGGTAACACACCTACACACAGAGACACACACACACACCACTTCTATCCCTGAAGCTGTAGCTAATGCCGAGTCTCCCTTGTTTTCTCGTCTTCCAGGAAGAGGCTGCTGGATGTTTTGGCGCGCGGGTTCGAGCCGCCCATCATCATCTTCGTCAACCAGAAGAAGGGTGTCGACGTGCTGGCCAAGTCTCTGGAGAAGATGGGGGTGAGACCTCAGGCTCTTATTAGGGGATATGTTTACCACTGAACTGGGTCAAATACTTTCTAATACCTGAGCTTTGCTGGTTTGTTTTCCCGGTACAATGTAACAACTGGAATAGCTCCAAAAGTGCAAACTCAGTGCTAAATCAAGGGCACCTCAAATACTTATATTTTGACCTATGTTTTTTAAAATCCAGGTCTTTCACCACTATGGCTAATCTAGGAACCAGGAGGTTGATAATGGTCCCTTTCTAATTATATTTCTCTACTTTCCCCCCCTCTCTCAGTACAATGCTTGCACGTTGCACGGTGGCAAGGGCCAGGAGCAGAGAGAGTTTGCTCTGTCCAACCTGAAGGCTGGAGCCAAGGACATCCTGGTGGCCACCGACGTGGCTGGGAGAGGTATCGACATCCACGACGTCTCTATGGTGCTCAACTACGACATGGCCAAGAACATCGAGGGTAAGACCACCACCATGACCTTTGACCCTGGGGTCACTAGAGCTGGGCAATACGGACAAAAATCCATATTGCGATAAATTGCCTGAATTTATGTGATAACGATAAATAGAACGATAAGTTTATAACATTAATGTGCATCACATTTATTTTAAAATTATAGTTTCAACTACTCGTTTGGTTGTAGCCATCAATTGTCCCATTTAACAATCACCAATCATTTAAAACTTCAAATTTTCTAGTATAGGCTACTTATCGTAATAAACAATTTTAGCAAAATGCCTGCGATAAGTGATCGGTATAGTCGGTGTCGATAAATTTCAATTTATCGTTCCAGCTCTAGGTCACTCACCTGTCTGTTGGATTTTCATTCCGTCAAAGCGACTTTGCACAGCCTTCCGTATTTGTAGACAGGGGTTCAAGTTTTCCTTCACTGCGGCAAATGGATTAAGGAGCATCTATTCCTCCATCAGTTAAAAAAATATAATGTACATAATTTAGAGATCAAGTTCGCTGTCTTGAGCCTCCTGAATGCCATAGAGGACAAATGGAGCACATCTTTGCGACAGTCACGCTTGACAGCGAAGAAAACTGCTTGTCTAGCTCAAACCATTCCAAAAATATGACCCATATTACCGGAGCTACCTTTTTTCCTTTGTATCGCGAATTCACACATTTTAAATAATTTCACAAACCATGTCACAGGCCGTTTTTAAAGTAATCCCGGGCCTCTAATTATTGGTTTGATAACAAACAACGTTGTTCAGTCATGCTACCTAGCTAGCTAACAACTTGGTAACTTGACAGTACGTCTAGGCACATTTGATTAGCACAGGATGAAAGGAAAAGGGTCTGCTGCTCATGAGATTCATATAGGCCTAATGTAAACCTAACTATATCCAAAATCAATCTCTTTCTGGTGCTCCTTTAATTCTGTTTGGTGGCTAACATTTTAAAAGTTTGGAGCAGTGTGTAAGAGTAAAGAAGGTTTAATGCAGTGTTTTCCCCTTACTGACACAATAACATGCAGATCATAATGCATGTATATTCTGCAGGGTTAACTTGGCCCCAGACAATCGATCTGAGATTGACTTAAGTTTCAGTCACGTGATTTTGTTTGTTTGTTGCTTTAACCCGTGTAGACTTTTTCTTACTACCTATTGTGACATTTCCCCCTCTCCCTCCCCTCCAGACTACATCCATCGTATTGGTCGTACAGGTCGTGCTGGGAAGAGCGGTGTGGCCCTGACCTTCCTCACCAAGGAGGACTCGTCAGTGTTCTACGACCTGAAGCAGGCTTTCCTGGAGAGCCCCGTGTCCACCTGCCCCCCCGAGCTGTCCAACCACCCCGACGCCCAGCACAAGCCTGGTACCATCCTCACCAAGAAGAGACGCGAGGAGACCATCTTCGCCTGATGTGCCAGATCATGTTATATGGTTACACCCCCCTTGGACCTGCCACCACACACTGGGTTTTCAGTTGTGTTCATCATCTCTCTTTTTGCTGTCTCTCAACATCTACGGTATCCCCCTCCTTCCCTCGCTGTCTTCTGTACTTTTCTCATCTGCTTTTTTGGCTTTCTCTTCCTCTTGCCACTATCTTCTCTCCTCCTTTCTCATTCCTCCATAGTTCGGCTTTCTCCACTGTAGTCTGGCTACTGTATGAAATGTTAGGCTGATGTAAGGGCCTGGGGTTCATATAGCTGTCTGGTTTAGAGACAATAGAATAGAGGGCTCTTGGTCTGTTGTGTGGGGAAGGTATGGAAAGTAATGTGAGCTCCAAACCTACACATATTTCAAAGAGCCCCTGTAACCACACAGAAGTGGTTGTCATTGTGTTTATTTTTTTAAATTAGATAACCCTTTTGTGACAGTTTTAAAATTGTGTAAAAATACCAATACATTGCATACCTTTTGTCTCCCAGAGGAACCTGGTAGATGTGGTGGTTTTTCTTTCATCAGTCGGCTGGTTATGATGAGTATTTTGGAATGTGATGTTTCCTACATTGATATCTATGAAGTGAATAAAACCAAATAAAACCAACTTTGACTGACACTGTTAAAATAAATGTTTCATAAACAGATATCACCAGAGCCCTACAAAGGTTCTCTGATATCAATTCCCTGGACTCGATTGACAAGATTTATGTCCTAAGAACTACAACGTTCAAGAAAGCACAAGACAATGGCAGCATTAAAAGTACATAAAATGTCATGTTTATTTCACTTAGTCGTATTTTACTTAGCATTTTTTTATTTATATATATTCTTAAATAGAAAGCATTCTATATAGCGACAGGCAGGAAATCTCTTATTTTCTTCTCAGAAATTGAGGAAATGACCGTTGGGCCACGCTAGCACACTGTGATAGAGTCCGGTGAATAGATAATACATGGTTATATTTAGTGCAGTTATTGCATTACAAAGCAACCATAAAAAAACTAAATTAGTGCAATGTTTTTTTCTACTTACACAAAAAGAGGAAGTCCAGATGGGCTAAGGCGTTTTAAGTCTTTCACTGTTAGGCTTTGTATTGCATACAGAATATAAGACAGAGGAAACTAAACTATAACCCTTGTAAAAATTGTGCTTCATAAATCGAAAAACCTTTTATCAATTACTACATTGGTCCGCTTTGAAAATCATATTCTGCCGAAGTAAAGTGAAAATCACTAATAAGTGAGCTAAAACATGCAAGGCTGCATTTAGCAAATCGCTCAATCCCTCTCTCGGATTAGTCGTCGAGGAGCAGGTGGGAATACATAATTTTAGAGCCAATCCAAATTGTGCTCAATAGAACACAAATTCTAAAGTAAAACATTTTGTGCAATTAAAAATACGAACTTTCTGTTTGCCTTTTTGTTTGTATCTAAGAGATATAATTATGTGGGAAGAAAATACTCAACTGTTTTCCCTTTTCCGTTTCTAGTGAATACAAGTGTCGGCACCTGTACCCACACTACTCCTTATTCATTAATGTTGTAATAAAAAAAAAATCTCTAATTCAATGTTACATTATTCAACGTAATAGTCAGGTTACTCCATATTTGAGATGCATTCTGCTTTTTAAATGGTTAATAAGTGTGGTTAATTTGTAACTCGGAGGAGTGACTGCCTTTTACAAAGAGAATCGTCGACAAGAATATTACTAAGAAATAACAAGGAGAATCAGAATCGATGCATTAATAATAAAGTGTAGAAGAACTGCAAAAATAAACAATCAGGTTTCATGCAACACTTGCATAGAATTATTTTCTTATTTTTTCAATCATGCTGTGATTTTTCAAAAAAATACAGAACACTATAAAGTTGTCTGTTAGACATGGAAGTAGTAGACCAGTTAGTCCCCAGACTTGGTCTGCAGGGACCCCTGTTCATGCAGATCTTTGTTCCACAATATGCCCAATTGATCGGTTCATAAACTAACCATGCAGATCTTTGTTCCACAATATGCCCAACTGATCGGTTCATAGACTAACCATGCAGATCTTTGTTCCACAAAATGCCCAACTGATCGGTTCATAGACTAACCATGCAGGTATATGACATCATGTCACAGTTGCTATAGCTGTGAGTCCTTTTGAAATGCAATGCTATGCGGACGACACACAGCTGTACATTTCGATGAAAATTGCCTAACCTGGAAGCCTGTGTTTCAGACATAAGGAAGTGGATAGCGGCACATTTTTTTTAGTCAATACTTTGTAGAGCCACCTTTTGCAGCAATTACAGCTGCAAGTCTCTTGGGGTATGTCTCTATAAGCTTGGCACATCTAGCCACTGGGATTTTCCCCATTCTTTCAAGGCAAAACTGCTCCAGCTACTTCAAGTTGGATGGGTTCCGCTGGTGTACAGCAATCTTTAAGTCATACCACAGATTCTCAAATGGATTGAGGTCTGGGCTTTGACTAGGCCATTCCAAGACATTTAAATGTTTCCCCTTAAACCACTCAAGTGTTGCTTTAGCAGTATGCTTAGGGTAATTGTCCTGCTGGAAGGTGAACCTCCGTCCCAGGCTCAAATCTCTGGAAGACTGAAACAGGTTTCCCTCAAGAATCTCCCAGTATTTAGCGCCATCCATCTTTCCTTCAATTCTGACCAGTTTCCCAGTTCCTACCGATGAAAAACATCCCCACAGCATGATGTTGCCACCACCATGCTTCACTGTGGGGATGGTGTTCTTGGGGTGATGAGAGGTGTTGGGTTTGCACCAGACATAGCGTTTTCCTTGATGGCCCAAAATATCAATTTTAGTCTCATCTGACCAGAGTACCTTCTTCCAAACACTAAACGTGTTTGCTTATTTTTTTCTTTAAGCAATGGCTTTTTTCTGGCCACTCTTCCGTAAAGCCCAGCTCTGTGGAGTGTACGGCTTAAAGTGGTCCTATGGAGAGATACTCCAATCTCCGCTGTGGGCTTTGCAGCTCCTTCGGGGTTATCTTTGGTCTCCTTGTTGCCTCTCTGATTAATGCCCTCCTTGCCTGGTCCGTTAGTTTTGGTGGGTGGCCCTCTCTTGACAGGTTTGTTGTGGTGCCATATTCTTTCCATTTTTAAATAATGGATTTAATGGTGCTCCGTGGGATGTTCAAAGTTTCGAATATTTTTTTATAACCCAACCCTGATCTGTACTTCTCCACAACTTTGTCCCTGACCTGTTTGGAGAGCTTCTTGGTCTTCATGGTGCCGCTTGCTTGGTGGTACCCCTTGCTTAGTGGTGTTGCAGACTCTGGGGCCTTTCAGAACAGGTGTATATATTCTGAGATCATGTGACAGATCATGTGACACTTAGATTGCACACAGGTGGATTTTATTTAACTAATTATGTGACTTCTGAAGGTAATTGGTTGCACCAGATCTCATTTAGGGGCTTCATAGCAAAGGGGGTGAATACATATGCACGCACCACCTTTCCGTTATTTATTTTTTAGAATTTTATGAAACTTCACCAATTTGGACTATTTTGTGTATGTCCATTACATGAAATTCAAATAAAAATCCATTTAAATTACAGGTTGTAATGTAACAAAATAGGAAAACCGCCAAGGGGGATGAATACTTTTGCAAGGCACTGTACCTACATGTACGCTACGGTCACAAGACGCAGGCCTCCATAATGTCCCTAGAATTTTTAAGCAAACAGCTGGAGGCAGGGTTTTCTGAAATATAGAGCTCCATTTTTATGGAATGGTTTTCCTATCCATGTGAGAGATGCAGACTCTGTCTTGACCTTTAAGTCTTTACTGAAGACTCATCTCTGTAGTCTGGCCCAGGGGTGCGAAGGTGAACGGCAAGGCACTGGCGCGACGAACCGCCCTTGCGGTCTGCCTGGCTGGCTCCCCTCTCTCCACTGGGATTCTCTGCCTCTGACCCTATTGCGGGGGCTGAGTCACTAGCTTACTAGTGCACTTCAATGCTATCCCTAGGAGGGGTGCGTCACTTGAGTGGTTTGAGTCACAAACGTGATCTTCCTGTCTGGTTTTTCGCCCCCTCGGGCTCGTGCGGTGGAGGAGATCTTTGTGGGCTATACTAAGCCATGTCTCAGGGTAGTAAGTTGGTGGTCTGTTGATATCCCTCTAGTGGTATGGGGGCTGTGCTTTTGCAAAGTGGGTGGGGTTATATCCTGGTTGGCCCTGTCCGGGGGTATCGTCGGAGGGTGCCACAGTGTGACCCCCGACCCACCCCTGTCTCAGCCTCCAGTATCTATGCTGCAATAGTCTATGTGCCGGGGGGGCTAGGGTCAGTGTGTTATATCTGGTGTAATTCTCCTGTCTTATCTGGTGTCCTGTGTGAATTTAAGTATGCTCCCTCTAATTCTCTCTCTCTCTACCGCACCTCCTGTCTCGACCTATGAATGCTCGGCTATGAAAAGCCAACTGACATTTGCTCTTGAGGTACTGACCTGTTGCACCCTCTACAGCCACTGTGATTATTATTTGATCCTTCTGGTCATCTTGAAGAAGAATCTGGCCTTAATGGCCATGTACTGTTATAATCTCCACCTGGCACAGCCAGAAGGGGACTGGCCACCCCTCAGAGCCTGGTTCCTCTCTAGGTTTCTTCCTAGGTTCCTGCCTTTCTAGGGAGTTGTTCCTAGCCACTGTGCTTCTACATCTGCATTGCTTGCTGTTTGGGGTTTTAGGCTGGGTTTCTATATAGCACTTTGTGACATCTGCTGATGTAAAAAGGGCTTTATAAATACATTTGATTGATTGATTGATTGATTGAAGAGAAATACAGGAGACCACACCACAAGTTCCACACATGATTAGCCAATGAATGACGTGATCAGTTGAGCACGAATAAGTGATTGGTTAGATCAAAAACCTGCCTGTACAGGTAGACTTGAGGATCTGCCACGTGATGTTGACAGTAAAACTGCAGTACACATACAGTATAGAGACGGTTAAAACAAATGTGTTCAGAGGAGATGCTATGTGCTGAACGTGTCTGACAAACACTTCCAACAGCCTGAATAGGTTATACTTGTTATGAGGTGCTGTGTCTCGTCTGGAGTTTGGAGACTCATATGATAAGTGAGTGTGAAAGTGACGTTGTGTGGATGCTACAATACAAAATGTGCTACACACAACTGGAGCACAATCAGTGGAAGGAGTGAGATCAGCCCACCACAAGGGGGCTGCCAGAGTCACAAAGGCATGTGATATTACATTTTTTTGATACCTGAATTTGTGTGTGTGTGTCTGCTTGCATGTGCCTGTGTGTGCCATAGGAGGTTGGTGGCACCTTAATTGGGGAGGATGGGCTCGTGGTAATGGCTGGAGCGGAATCAGTGGAATGGTATCAAATACATCAAACACATGGTTTCC